GGATTGTTTGTTTGCTTATCTTGTGCAGAATATTACGATGACATCATGTTATATCGAGCAGCAGCTGATCACATTAAACTTTGACTGTTATCACTGGTTAACTTGGGCGTGTTTCCTAAAAAAAAAAAACTTCCCTAAAAATCGTGAGTCACAGCGTTTGGCAGACTGCCAACTCCTCCGCTTGTTTGGCTACTCACCTTCTGATGCCGCTGTCTCGAAAGTCAGAAGAAGAAGAAGAAGAATGTGAGACATTTCTGCAGAACAACTCACAACCGACCACCCTGAAGTTGCTGGAAACTGGATATGTGTACATTTGTTTTGCCAAGGAGTCAAGGGCGGTCTGCTGCGTTTAGGACACGCCCCAGTTTTACACAGTCTTTACTCTCTGTGCGACGGTGATCACTCTTTTTTTGTCTGTTTTTTATTTGTTTGTTTTTGTACAGTGGGAATTTAAAATCACTCCATACATCAGTTACATCTAACTATAAAAACTGTGCTGATCTATTGTATGTCTAACGTCTCACTGTAGCCCAACAGAACCGGACTGTGTTATTCATCATTTGGTCGAACTCGCAGCGCGCACACTGTAAGGTTCACGGAGACGTGGGCTGGAAAGCTGCATCAGCTGTCTCAGCGGGGTTTAGCGCTGAAGCTGCACACACTGTTTATCTCGCCTTAGATCACACGCTAGTGGCAGGGCGTGGAGCTGTTTGTTTACTGAGGATTCCAACCACAAAAACATATTGCAGTCTATGCTGTTAACCTCAACCATCTCTGCTCGCCTGCTCATCATCACTACCCCGGCATATCCTCCTGCACACCGCAGCACTGCCCTGATCTCTCTCCCCTGTTTGAGTAGCCTAGAGGAAGTGAGATCATCCATGAAGTGTTTATATTGTTTATTAGTGTTTATTATATATTAATTTTGCTTTTGTTTTTTGGGGGTTTCTATTATTCTACTATAGATGATTTGGTTTCAACCTGTGTATTTCTGTAAATGTGAAATGACTGACTGCCCTCTAGTGTCCGTCAGCGGTCACTGCAGGTTTAATTCTTACTCATAATGATCGAAATGTTTAACTAACACTGCGCAAGATGAACTAACCTGTAATAAACTGTCTTCAGCAGCAGTTTTACAACCAGGAAACTCAAAAGCTGTCGAAATGCCTCTGAGACTCTGCACGTTGATGCATTCAGGGACATCAAGGGAAAAGCGCTCATTCTAACCCAGGATACACGAAGACGTCAGAGGACGCTTGCTTTCTAAGTGCTCACGTTTAAAAGGCTTCATTTAACAACAAGCTGTTCCACATGTGTGCGGGTAGAGAAAGACTGAAAAGTTGTCGAATCGAAGAATGACATGAACTCACCTGATCACCGTCTTTGGCTTCCTGAGGTAAAACTGCCCCCCTTTGCATTCATGTGTGCGGACGACCGTCACACGGACGTCCATGAGGGAGAAAAGGAATGAAAAGCAAAACACTGCGTTTAAATCCTCCCAGTCTCACAATTCTCGCTGAGTGACAGCAGGGCTTTCACTGGTTTCGATCAGGTGGCACTTTGAATGAAGCATGGCTGCAGCACAGCAGCGCATGTCCGTCACTTTTCTTCCGCTCCTTTGACACGCCGAAAGACCAATTTGGCTACTGGACGATAGCGGGAGCAGCATGCGCAAAATGGTCGCAGTTTTTTGCATTTCACTTTCCTTGGCCAAATCGGCTGTTTTTTTCAAGTTAACTTTATTAACACACTGACATGTTCAACTAGTTAAATCCCAAAAGGGCACCCTGTAGTTTGCGTGTAACAGTGCACCAGCGAGTAAAAAAAAACTCTCCATGTGCGTGAAATACACACTAGCGTTAAGAATTTGCTCAACAACACAGACAAATTTCCATTTACACAAGAAAGATATAAAGATATATAAAGTCTACTCTCACAGCTGTCATTTCTGTGTTGTTTGTGTAGCAAAGCTGCATTTCTGTGCATGAGAAGTTAATCAAATAACTAAAAGTTTAAATTTTGTTATATGGTGCAAATCATATACAGGCCAGAATAACAGCTTACATAAATGTCCTACATTTTACATGTTGAGGTTGGTTCATTCAGGTCATGATAATTTCCTCAAAGACTAAGCGACAAACACTAAAACAAATTTCATGAAGGTTTAAAACTAATAATATTCAGGTGCCCACAGCTTTGACATGTTTCATTCTTTCCCGTTCATCGCTTTAATAAACTCTGTGATTCATATTTCAGCTTCGAACCTGAAACTTACAGGACTTTCCTTTTTTCTTTCTGTCTTTTTTTTCGTAGAACTGCTTCAGAGAAACCACAGGGCCTCTAAACTGCGCTGCCGAGAGGAAGGAGGAGGGTTCAAGTGTTTCTGTGGAACAAGAAGATCTC